GGGTCCATTCCCAATGGGGTGTTGGGATGGGGAGTGGGTCCATCCCACTGGCACTGGGGTGTTGGGATGGGGAGTGGGTCCATCCCACTGGCACTGCAGTGTTGGGATGGGGAGTGGGTCCCTGCCAGGGCTCCCCCATCCCATCCATGTCTCCCATCCGTGCAGGATGTTCGAGCTGAGCTGCACCCTGCCCCTGGAGAAGGACCTGCGGGTGGCCCTGTACGACTACGACCTGCTGTCCAAGGACGAGAAGATCGGGGAGACCGTCATCGACCTGGAGAACCGGTTCCTGTCGCGCTACGGGGCGCGCTGCGGGCTGCCCCAGACATACTGCGTGTGGGTACCGGGGCTGGGGGGCTCTGGGGGGGCACCAGGGGGGTCCCAGGGGCACCTGCCCGGGGCTGCGCTTCCCTCAGTGCTGGTTCTCCTCCAGGAGCCCCAAATGGGGCAAATAACGTGGAAATCCTCGGGGAGATCCCGTCACACCGCCGGTGTCTCCCGGGCACACCGAGCTGGGGACGCTCCCCGTGCACAGCCTGCCCGGGGAAGTTGGTGATGCCCCGTCCCTGGGAGTGTCCAGGACCTGGTTGGAGCAACCTGGGATGGTGGAAGGTGTCCCTGCCCCTGGAACTGGATGATTTTGAAGGTCTTTCCAACCCAACCCGTTCCATAATTCCGCGGTCCTGTTTGGTTTCAGCTCCGGGCCCAACCAGTGGCGGGACCAGCTCCGCCCTTCCCAGCTGCTCCACCTCTTCTCCCTGCAGCACAACTACAAGGCTCCCACCTACAAATCCGACCGGATCATCTTCAGGGATCGGGAGTACGTCCTGTCTGAGCAGGGTAAGGGCACTGGGATCTTTTGGGATAGCGGAGTTTCCTTCATCCAGAGCAAGGGGTGGAGCTGGAGCTCATGGGGGGGTACCATGGAGGCCAGAACAGGTTGGTGGGCACATCCCCATCCTCCCCACCTCCCTGGCCAGCTTGGATCTGCACCATTCCCAGGCTTGGCCGTGCCCCAGACCCTGGGATTGAACCAGACCTGCAATGCAGCCACAGGAACATTGACCTTGGGTGACTTCCCTGGGCTCTGGGAGCTCTGAAGTCCATCCTGGGCTGAGAAGCTCCAGCCTGGAGGAGCAGCTGTGCCATTGGAATCTCGTTTTGGGTCACTAGATGGAGACAGGATCACACACACGGTGCCCAGGGACCACCTCAGGGCTCAGGGGGCAGCTGGAAGGGCAAAACCAACCTCTGCCCTATCTGGGAATATCACCCACACCTGGGGAGGTGCTTTCTTGTTTGCACAAAAACCACCCCTTGACCACACCAACACTGACCCTTTGACCACCCTGGGCATCACCTGGTGCCCCTCTGACCCACACCCTTGGGGCAGGAGTTGCCTCTGTGAGAAAACTCTGCTTTGAGGCATAAAAGGGGTGTTTAGGCCCCGGGGGCATCATGGAATGGTTTGGGTGGGAAGGGACCTTAAAGATCATCCCGTTTAACCATGGCAGGGACACCTTCCACCAGCCCAGGTTGCTCCTTGGACACTTCCAGGGATCCAGGGGCAGCCACAGCTTCTCTGGGAAATTTATTCCAGGGCCTCCCCACCCTCAGAGCCAGGAATTCCCTCCCAATATCCCATGACAAATTTTAATGTGGCAGTATTGGGGCCACCACGTCAAGGGGGTCGTCAGAGGCACAAAACAAGGCACAGCCCAGCACTGATCCCTCTCCTGCTCTTGGGAATTGAGGTCTAAATTCCTGGTTCTCCCTGAGGAGGAGGAAGAAGAGGAGGAGGAGGAGGAGGAGGAGGAGGAGGAGGA